GTTCTGCTATCGATCCAGGCCTTGTTAAGTGCTCCCAATCCAGATGATCCATTAGCAAATGATGTAGCGGAGCAGTGGAAGACCAACGAAGCCCAAGCCATAGAAACAGGTATCTAATATTCATTCTCCTTCACACCACTTCCACTCTTACAAACAAATTTGTATTGCCACTTAAACTTTTCTAAAGTTTCTCTTGGCAAGGAAAAGAAATAGAAAAAAAAAATATTGTAATGAGTGAGATCCTGCTTATAGTATGTAAATACCTCTTATAACAAAATGGCCTGCTATGGGAACCCCCCAAATTTAAAGACAACCTGTAATTGGGAGATCTTGGAGTCTCTTGTAACTACACCTGGTTTAACAAATACTGAGTGTGTACCATTTATCTAGTTATATGTAAAGAACACTGGAAAACTTTTGAACTGTTTTTGTAACCCATTTGATTATTCAGCTGTTTATGGCTAGAGAATTTGGAGTCAAGAAGCTTCAGCTACAGATTTTAAGAAAATTAGTGGGGAGAATTGTGTATCCAGAAATGGACAACTTGGTTCATCCTCTTGAATTTTCTAGAACTTATGAATTTTATTGTAGTGTTTTGGTAATTGGACGTATACAAAATCTTTCAGCCCTGATCCGATTTATAGAAAAAGGCATGAATTTAAGAGATTACAGCATGACATTTCCATAATTAACTTAATAGTGTTTGTTTGCCATTTATAGTTTGGAAAGTAACATATTGAACTAAGTAAAATAATAATCGTGCGTTTGTTTCTGTCTACAGCTAGAGCATGGACTAGGCTATATGCCATGAATAATATTTAAATTGATCCGATCATCAAGTGTGCATCACTTCTCCTGTTCTGCCAAGACTTCCTCCTTTTTGTTTGCATTTAATGGACACAGTCTTAGAAACATTACAGAATAAAAAAGCCCAGACATCTTCAGTCCTTTGGTGATTAAATGCACATTAGCAAATCTATGTCTTGTCCTGATTCACTGTCATAAAGCATGAACAGAGGCTAGAAGTATCATCTGGATTGTTGTGAAACGTTTAAAAGCAGTGGCCCCTCCCTGCTTTTATTCATTTCCCCCATCCTGGTTTAAGTATAAAGCACTGTGAATGAAGGTAGTTGTCAGGTTAGCTGCAGGGGTGTGGGTGTTTTTCTTTATTTTATTTTATTTTTTTTGAGGGAGGAAGTAGTTTTATTTTTAATTTTATGGGCTCCTTTCCCCCTTTTTTGGTGATCTAATTGCATTGGTTAAAAGCAGCTAACCAGGTCTTTAGAATATGCTCTCTAGCCAAGTCTAACTTTATTTAGACGCTGTAGATGGACAAGCTTGATTGTTTGAACCAAAATGGGAACATTAAACAAACATCACAGCCCTCACTAATAACATTGCTGTCAAGTGTAGATTCCCCCCTTCAAAAAAAGCTTGTGACCATTTTGTATGGCTTGTCTGGAAACTTCTGTAAATCTTATGTTTTAGTAAAATATTTTTTGTTATTCTACTTTGCCTTTGTACAGTTTATTTTACTGTGTTTATTTCATTTTCCCAATGTGACAATCGTAATTTAAAATTAAAACTATGGAACATTCTGTCTTGGTCTTCACCATCTGGCAAATTGAATGGCAAGAGGTAGATTTCACCAGTTTCTTTTCACTGATGCAGATTTGTGTTAAGATAGTACTGAATGGAGTATTTATAAACTGGCCCTGAGCATGCATAAAGCATCAGTATCTGACCTTTTTTTAACCTCCTAGGAATTTGAAATAAATGTGTTTGTGTTGTCTGATTAGACGATCATTGGTGTCTTGCCACAATGTTTAAAAATTACTGTACAGGAAAGTCACAGCAAAGATAGCAGTTGTGACTGACATGTAGGACTTTCACAGTTGTGCCACATTTTTGCCTAAAATTTGGGTTATGACCTTTTTCTTGGTTCTTGTCTGAAAATTTCATCTGTAACCTTTCATGTGTGTTATTAAGAAACACTGATCTGATAATCATTTGGGATTTGCTGAGGCATTTGTGAGTCTTCCTTATAAACCTGATGAGCAGATCTCAAGCATCCAGCTTGTGTGTCATCAGAAAGGTTTATTCCTTTGAGAGTAGCAAGTCCTCAATTAATGATTCTTGCTTTCATCCCTCTAGTATTTGCTATGGGAGCTCCTTTTATTCTTTAATTTGGAATTCAGTAATTTTTCTTCTTTATTGACAGAATTCCTCCCCTCACAAAACTGTTCTTTCCCACTTCTCTCCATATCTAATTCCTGATTCTTGTAATTTTTAAGTCATAAATGTAGCCAGTCATAAATACATAAATGTTAACCTTGGGTTGGAACCTTGTCTCTTGCAGTTTAAGGTAATGGATATTGTAGCCCATCTGAATTTTCTTCACTCTTTTTCTCGTAATTCTGGAGTTTCTTCAGATTGTGGTGTATTTTATTGTGCTCCTATGTAAGATGAAGAATTAACTATTAAAATTACATTTTCAACATACAAAAGCTTTTGATGACTGGTAACTGGTATCCTTCCAAATAAATGCATTGCTTGGTAACAAATGTTAGCTTAATGCAGACTAAAATTGTTAACCACCCTAATATTGTAAAATTTGAAATAATAACAGCAGTCGTCATAACAGTTCTTGGGTTGTTTAAAGGGTGCATTTGACTATAGCTAAGGAAACTGAATCTCACTTTAAAAATGAACCACACAAAACTTCAAGAAACGAAATAGAGATCAAGATTTACTGCCTGTAGTATCGCTCATGGTTATAGCTAGTATCACGTAGTGATTTGCAAACCATGAAATTCCAGAGTTAAATCTGTTGCACTACAAAAATATGGCTAAATGATGTCTGCTAAATTTGTGAGTTACAAAAGTACAGAAATAAGTCATTTTCATTTCAAATGCCGTGAATTTCTAATTTCATGGTATCACATTTTTTTCCTTTGCAGTTTTGGTAAGAATCCCCCATTGCTTTGATAAGACTGTCTTTCTCAACCAGTGGGATGAAACAACTGCCAGTGTGATCACTGAGCCTTCTTAGGACTTAAGGGGCTCTGGGAGAGGCCAAGGCAGCAGTTGAAAACTGCAGCTTCACCTGGCCGTTGGGCCTGTTTTCCCTGGCCCACACAGTATGGCTGGTTAAAACATTCTGAATTTGATGCCAACATTTTTAAAAATTGGGAGATTTACATGAAAATGCATGCAGGATTCTGGTAACTTTTGAATGAGCTGAAGATCTGGCAACAGTAGACCTGACCCACCTTCGTGCATGGGACTTAACTGAGAGGATCTGAGTAGCAAACACCGTAAGAGCATGTCATGTCTTCTTACCAGCTACTCTCCAGTTGGCTAGAGTCTCCTCCAAGCACACCTGCTAGTCCTTCCTCCTTGTAAGCCTTTGACTTTGTAATCCCTGGGCTAAAGGAAACATTACTCAACAAAAGTGTTTCATGTTTGCCCACTAGTTGTTGGGGATCATTAGGTGGTGAGTTAATGGCATGGAGCTTTCCTTTGGGACCTTTTACTCTAATGGGGAAGGGGGACAGACAAATAGTTGTAACTCTGTCATGGAAAAGGGAAGTGACTTGGACAGACTTTTGGATTCAGGCCAGATGAACATCTCCAGGCAGAGGGAACAGCAGCATCTGCAAAGTTCTGGGAGAGAAGAAAAGAATCTGAACATTAATAAGCGGCTTCCTGAAAATCGACTGCCCAGGCCAGGCACAGTGGCTCACGCCTGTGATTCCCAGCACTTTAGGAGGCCGAGGCAGGAGGATCACTTGAGTCCAGGAGTTTGTGACCAGTCTGGGTAACATAGTGGGACCCAGTCTCTTTAAAATTGCCTGTTAAGAGGCTTTTCTAAAATCTTGAGGTGGTGATAGGAGCTTTATGTTTTTTGACTTTTTTGATTTGTTGTAGTCTACTTTGCTGTGATTTGCTTGTGCTCTAGTTACCTCTAGTCCTCTCAAAAGCTGTCTAGCAAGATATTAGGTCTAAAGTCAAGTCATCTCTTGGTATTTGTCTGGAACTGGTTCTAGGACTTCCCTTGGATATCCAAATCCACAGATGCTCAAGTCTCTGGAATAAAATGATGCAGTATTTGCATACAATCTACACAAATCTTCCCGCATACTTTAATATTTAGGTTACTTGTAATACCTATTATAATGTAAGTGCTATGTAAATAGTTACACTATTGTTTAAGGAATAATGACAAAAATATACATGTTGACTACAGACACAATGTTTTTTGGAATATTTTCTATCTGGTGGTTTGAATCCACAGAAGTGGACCCATGGATATGGAGGGCCGACTGTATATAGAACCTTACTCTACACCAAGAATGTACTTGTGAAACAATTTCAAAGAAGCACTTACAAATAAGATTAAATACAAACCAATAGATAAAAGTGACAGGTGCTATGGTGGTTTTGTGGAGAATGGGGAAGGAAATCTATCCTACAAGACATTATAACACAGTGACCTAAGTGGAACTAAATGGGATCATGGAAATGATAGGAATAGGCTTTATTTTTCTGTTAAATGCTTCAGGAACCTTTTTTTGGCTGCTCTAGCCACCTTTTTTTTTTTTTTTTTTTTTTGAGACAGTCTCGCTCTAGTTCAGGCTGGAGTGCAGTGGCACAATCTCAGCTCACTGCAGCCTCTGCCTCCTGCATTCAAGCGATTCTCCTGCCTCAGCCTCTCGAGTAGCTGGGACTACAGACACCTGCCACCACGCCCGGCTAATTTTTTGTATTTTTAGTAGAGATGGGGTTTCACCATGTTGGGCCAGGATGGTCTCCATCTCCTGACATCATGATCTGCCCGCCTTGGCCTCGCAAAGTGCTGGGATTACAGGCATGAGCCACCGTGCCCGGCCCCGCCACATCTTTTTTGTTAGTTGCAGTAGCAATACAACCTTATCTAGAAAAGCTGGCCAAAAAAAGAAAATACCATAATAGGGTACCTAAATTATTGCTTTATATAAGAAAAATGTAATATTCAAATAAGTACTTTTGGGCTGGGATGGTATTTCATTTAGCTACTTGGTATGACATCCATCTTAGGGAATTATATGAAGGTTTATATTTTAAATAACATAAAAAGCAAAACATGCTGAATGTAATAATTTGAAGTGTAAATAATAAAAATCTGTAATCTACCACCTGGACTGGTAATATGTTGTTTGTTTTCTTAACTATACATTCACCACTGCACTAGTCTCCATTTTATCATGGAAATTAGGTCTATTCCAAGAGTTGGCTTTATGGTACTAACTGGGTAACTTGCCATTAGCTGCCATGCTGGGAGCTGGACTAAAATTTTTCCTGTTAAGTGTGGAACTGAATATTAAGAGTTCGGGTCTCCCCAGCCCTCTCCCAGTTTCATCTTTGTCACCCTTGAGCTGATCTCATTTCATGTATCTTGTATGGCCCTGTTGGGTGGCACTCCTAAGTGTATGAACGTAGACTTGATACCAAGCTGTGCCTCTACTACTGAATTGATCACACGATTTTTTTCATTTTCTTGTGGATTGTAGAAACATATAATTACTGCCTGAATGTTTAGATTTTAAGTTCCTTGTAGCAGAGCATTTTATAGTGATCATTAAGGAACTTTTTCTTTCTGCCAATCACCTTATCTATGGGGACAGAATGTTTTAGAAATTAGAAAAGATTTAACCCCATGTTACCAACTAGAATAGCATATTTCCTTTTTTTTTTTAAGACTCCTGATCCATCTCACCATATGACTGCTTTTGAAATAGTTCCATGATCTATTAGTAAATATCGATAGTGCTTAAGTTTTATTATAACCTAGTAAGTTTACAAAGTCTTCTGGCTTAAGGTCAGGAGTAGATATCAGATCTGGCAAAAGCAGCTTAGATGTGATAGGTTGGTTGCACTAGATTGAACTTGGCCCTGTTTCCCTTAGGTTTTAAGCAGGATGCATTAGGACTGAGCAACCAAGTAGGGCCAAGTTCTTGCAATTCATGTTGTTTTCTTCTAAAACAGTAAATATTTTGGCCTTTGTGGGCCACAGGTCTGTCTCAGCTACTGAATTCTGCCATTGTAGTGAGCACCCATAGACGATTTGTAAACAAATAGGCATAGTGTGTGGTTTTTTTTTTAAACCACCTAAAACATTAAAAAAAATTTTTAACTTGAAGGCCATACAAACAGGCAGTGGGGTGGGGTTTGGCCTGTAGGTTGTAGTTCTCTGCCCTGCTCTTCTGGCACCGATTACTCACTGCTCATGTCTATTTCCCAAAACATGTTTTAAACCATACAGGCCTTTAAAAACAAAATCTAAAATCTGTACAACCTCATTTTAAGTGACTAAGTTTTTTCAGTGTATGCAAATGCGTGCATAAAACATAGTTCTATCCTAGTGTTCTGCCTTTTTCAATCATTGTTGAAAGGATTCTCCTTGTGGCAGCACATAGCTCTTTGGTAACCACGAAGTATCCATTAAATAGATTGCCATGACTTAATCCCATTTGAATATTAAATTGGTACCAGTTTCATAAGTCCTACAACACACGTATCTGACCATTGGTTGTGCAACTTGTGCATTTGTTGACTAGATTCCCAGAAGTGGAACTGTTGGGTGAAAGGGTATGTATGCAGCTGTGATAAATACTAAGTAGCTCTCCGACAGGGTGTATCAGTTTCCACAATCAGATCCTTACCCGAATGTCATTTCTAATGACTATAATATTCCACTATATGGAAAATAACTGTTACAGTCCCTTTGCTGCTGAGCATTTTATTTTCATGGCTTTCCACTCCAGTGCCTTGTCTTGATATGTAAGTCTTTGTCCACATTCCTGTAGATAAGTTGAATTCCTAGTATATTTACTTGGTCAATAGGCATGTTTCTTAAAGTTGATAAATAATGATGGCCAAATAAAAGTATTTTACTAACTTAAGGAATGAATTTGAGTAAAAGCCGAGAAAAGCAGAAAAATTTACTTTCATTGTCTGATACTGATTAGCATCAGGAGAGTGGCAGTCTACATATTGGGAGATGTTTGTCAAATGTTACAAAAATGCATTAATAATAATATCAGGTATCATAATTTGTTGAAATCATATCAAGGTGGAAGAATTAAAGAATAGTTCCCTGGCTAAAAGACATTGAACCTTTTGAGTGTTAAGGTCTTTGCTATAATGTCTTGCTAAAATAGGCCTTAATGGCCCTCTCATCTTACTGCTTGAATTTAGCCACTGGCACCAGTCAGGAAGGTATTAAAGTAGCACCAGAGACAGATTACTTTTCATCCTGACTTTTGTCCTATAGCTCTATAAAATGTTACACATTTTGTGGAAGAAATCACATCTACAAATAAAACTGTATTGCTTTTGAGCAATACAAGCCTACATATAAAAAGCTGTAAAACCTTGAAAAATACTAAAGGATGTAAAAACACCAAGATAAGCCGGGCATGGTGGCTCATGCCCATAATCCCAGCACTTTGGGAGGCTGA